ATAAAAAAAGACCCGGAATGAATAAGCTAGTTGCTGGAGAGAAAAAGGCTTTTGTATTTCTCACTTATCTCTCAAACGAGAGAGCTCCTCAATTTATACTAGTGGAGAAAGTGCTGCACATAAATATATGAGTTACAGCAATGAAGATAAATTGAAGGAGTTACATGGAGTTACAGATTTTCATTCAAACGGATGAAATGATGTAATGATGTTTTCCAACGGATGAGACTTAAGGATGAAACTGATGTTATCAATACTGAATATCATTTCCAACACTTATTTTACTTGTCAAGTAAATGATCATAGTATATTTGGAATTTCAAAATCAATTTCGATGAAAGAAAAATTGTGGTCCAAAAATAGGGAAAACGGATTTTCAGCATATAATATCATGCAGCGAGCAGCTACCTAGCGTTATGTGCTCGAGCGCCAACTGGATGGCTAGGTTACGACCTAGAGGGTTGTGTCCCTTCCTAAAACCTGCTGAGTTCTGGGGTGCATCTCTCCGGCCACAACCCTTTATCTTCTATAAATTGGGCCCTCCAGATGCTCTGAATTTATCCTATAACATATTCGATAATTACTTTGCATCAAATACTTCATAAAAGATTTGTTTTCTTGCATCAACATCTTTCAAATAGTAGAGAGAAAATTATGTTTCAAAGTTCGTCGTTTCCTTGGAGTTTAAGGTGCTTCTACTACAAGGAGGTACCTTTGTATCTTGGGAGACGATTGTCAAGACTCTGTTGGCATCGTTGCAGGGAAATTTGTCTTGAAAACAAAGTGTTGAACACTTGCCTCGATTTGCATTCTTCATTTATTTTTTGATTTTCTGCAACTTTTTTCATTCCGAGTAAGTTGTTTACTTTGATTTAGTATTATTTTAAGTTTCAATTTTATATTTGTAAATGCAAACGCAATGCACCAACGAGTTTAAGACAAATTTATTGTCGTTTACTTGTTATAAATTGATTTTCTTCAACTTTTGGAATAAGCAAATACATTTCTATTTCTTTCTTAATTTAATTTTTTTGAACTTTTGTTTTCATGACAGAAATTGATATTGTTGGGACTACTTCTAGTCAAACAACAAATTGGATGACTAATGTGGTACTTTCGATGGCTATACTGCTGCAAAATACTTCAATTCTAAAAGGAATGAAACTGAAGAAATTCAGTGGAGTGAATTTTAAGAGATGACAACAAAAGATGTTCTATCTCACCACCTTGAATTTGACAATTAAAGATCCTTCGTCGTACAAGAAGGAGAGAATAATTACGAGTTATTATCATATTAGATGCTAGGAAGCACTCGAACTTCCTAAACAAGAACTATATTCTCAATAGATTGGACAACATGCTATATGATGTGTATAGTGCACTAAAATCTGCAAAAGAATTTTGGAAGTCTTTGGAGAAAAATTACAAAACAGAGGATGCCTGCTCGAAGAAATTCATCTTTCGAAATTTCCTTGATTACAAGATGGTAGACTTCAAAACCGTCATCAGTCAAATTCAAGAACTACATGTTCTTTTACATGACATACATGCCGAGAATATGAGTGAATTACTTCAAGTTGCTATTGTCATTGAGAAACTCCCTCTTCCGTGGAGAGATTTCAAAACTATTTCAAATACAAGGAGATTAACTTGGAAGAACTTATTGTCTGACTAAGGATACAAGAAGATAATGGAAAGATCGAAAGGAAATTTAGTGTTGAATTTGGGCAAGCCAAAGTGAACTTAGTAAAATCCAATTCAATGATCAATTAGAAATGAAGGTATTTGGTGATGCACCAAAGAGAGACAAGAATGCTAAGAAATTCAAATGCAACTTCTACAATCGTGGGAAAATATGACATAGTTCAAGTGAATGTCGAAAGCCTAAGAAGAATGTACAAGCAAATGTGATCTAGTGAGATGCATTATCTGAAGATATGCAGAAGATGAACTTATTTGTGGTTGTTTCAGAATGTAACAATGTTGGAAATCCAAAAGAATAGTAGGTCGATATTGGTGCTACCCACCATATTTGTGCCGACAAGGCATTATTCTCGAGCTACAAAGAAATCAATGGAGAACAACGATCTATGGAAATTCTGTAAGTTCTAAAGTTGAAGGACAAGGAAAGTTCACTTTGAAGATAATTTTCGGCAAATAGCTCGTCCTCAACAATGTCCTACATGTACCGGACATTCGAAAAAACCTTTATCCAGGTATTTACTTAGAAATAATTATTTTAAATTAATTTTTATATCCGATAAATTTGTATTTGCTAAGAATGATGTATATGTAGGAAAATGATACTTGTGTAATGGAATATTCAAAATGAACGTTTTTACTATTGTACCAAAACCAAGCATAATAAATAAAAGTTTAAGTTCTATTTATATGCTTGAATTGTCTTTTTTATGGCGCAATCGTTTACAACATACAAATTTTAAATCAATGCGTAAAGTTAAGTTTAATACCTTCATTGAAATTTGATCCTATTCATAAATGAGAAATTTGTGTCGGGGAAAAATTAGCCAAAACACAATTTCATTCGGTTCAAATGAACACTACGCCTTTAGGATTAGATGTGTCAAGACGGACGGGCCAGCCAAACCCGTGAAAATCGGCCCGGATGGACCTCGGACCGCGAGCCAACCTGTGACCTGAGCAGGCGGTTCACGGGTCAAAGAGGTGTGACCCGCGGGTTTCGCGAGTTGCACCTTCACGGGCCGCGGTTAACCCGCTGCCCCGTGAAAATTTTTTGAAAAAAAAATTTGAAAAAAAATGGGGAGAGAGTCAACCTAGTTGGGATATATTTAAACTATACATTATAATAAAAATAGGTGCCAACCTAGTTTGGATGTACTTATACTATAAATATTTGATAATAGTAATTAGAAATACAATTAGTTGTTATTTATTTAAATTAAATTTAACTTTGAAGTTATAAATAATTCATGTAAC